TTATTGACTTTCAGTCCTGGCTGTGCGTCAGAGTCATCTTTAAAGTTAAAAAGAAACAAAAGCCAACCTGTGTCCAGACTTGGATCAACTTCTGCAGAAATTACTAGAAACCCAGGCCCTAAAGCCTGACTTTGGCTTTTAATCCTTTCTTTCTTCCTCCCTCCCTCCTTTTCTTCCTTTCATTTTTCTTCCTTCCTTTCTCTCTTTTTTCTTTTCTTTCTTTTTTTTTTTTTGAGAGTTTCTGTAGCCCTGGCTGTTGGGACAATCTCCTGTGCACTGTGTATAGGTTGCCTTTGTATTAATAAGCGTTGCTCTCTGTAGAGCAGAGAGCTGAGGACAGGCCAGACTTTGGTGCTGTTATTCTTATGAAGCATCACCTGTCTCCCTGTTTTGCTAACATCTTCGTTGCCTTCTGATTGGTTTAGTAAATTGCTGAGTGGCCTAGAGCAAAGCAGGAGAGGACAGGCAGAATAGGAGCTCAGGAAAGAATCAGACGCTGGTGATTCACCAGCCAGAGGAAGAAACTGGTGCCGGTACCACAGAGCGGTAATGAGCCATGTGGCAGAAGGTAGACTAGAATAAACAGGTCAATTTAAGTCATATGAGCTGGGAGCAAGCCTAAGCCAGGGCCAAGTTTGTATATTAATAAAAAGTCTCCATGCCAGTACTTGGGCAGACGGCAGGATGAGACAGTCTGGTGATACCTGGCATCCAACCCTGATACCTGGCTGCCTGGGCTTACTCTGTAGACCAGACTGGCCTCACACTCACAGCCATCCCCCTGCCTCCACCTCCCAAGTGCTGGGACCACAGGTGTGCACCACCACTGTCCAATGGCACATTTTCCTATTAGTTAAGAGAAAACAACAGGGCTGGAGAGATGGCTCAGTAGTGAAGAACACTGGCTGTTCTTCAAGAGGTCCTGAGTTCAATTCCTGGCAACCACATGGTGGCTCACAACCATCTATAACATGATCTGATGCCCTCTTCTGGCGTGCAGGTGCACATGCAGATAGAGCACTCATATATATATATATATATATATATATATATATATAGTAAATCTTTAAAAAATAATAAAAGAGAAAACAACAAAATGTATAAAGAAATGGAAACAACTTTATTTACAGACTTCTCAGTGATGCCACAATCTACTGAGAAGATGAAATGAGTGAGGCGGCAGGAGGATGAATCCTCCGTGTGCAGCCCCTCGTCACTCTCAGAACGGACCTGCCTGGAAGAACAGCATCCTCTCGTCATTCCAGCAGAAGCCTTTAAAGATGTCCAGGTGAATCCAGGCATGGTGGTACCAGCTTAGAATCCCAGCATTGGGAGGTAGTGGCAGGAGAGTTATGAGTTCAAGGCCTGCCTAGGGTGCATGAGACTAGGTGATTCCAGTATGCAGTTGGATCAGGCTATTGCAGGCCCAATCATGCCGGTTTTGTTCGTTTGCTTTGTTTTTGAGAAATGCGGAAGACTTTGGGACTTTGGGTTAGAAAGGCAGCAGACCGTTTTGAACAGAAGGTAATGGGCCATCCTCGTGGGAGCCTGGAAGACAGTAATGCTGAAAGCTTTTCAGACCGTGGCAGCTCAAGAGGGTTCAGTGAAGAGCAATGTTAAGCAAATGAGCTAGAGACTGTTGTGATATTTTTGGTAAAAAATAACATGGCTGCTTTCTGCTCAGGTTCTGGGAACTTGCCTAAGGCTAAGTGGGAAGGTAAAGGACTCGTTTCTTTGGCAGAGGTCTCAAGGCAGCAGATTACAGATTCTATCATGTGGCTAGAAATCACTCTTACGACGGCCTCCAATGAGAAACAGCAAGTGAGGCAGAAAGAAACTTAAGAAAAGTACAATCTGAAGGGGAGGGGTAGTACCAGGAAACTTAAGGCTACAGCCAAATCTGGTGCTGAGAGATGATGAGATGAAGGGGAGGCCTGATCAGCCTGGGACAAAGGGAAGGGGGCTCTCAGGGTAAGACTCCTTCCAGTCAACTTGTGGAAGGCAAAGATCTGAGGCTTTTTCTTCTCCTAGAAAGGAACAGGAGACAAAAGCTGCTGCAAATTTGATTCAGGGGAGGCACAGTCCACCGAAGCTGAACCTGGCTGTGGTCCACATGGTGCTAGCTTTGGAAGATTGCAGCAGTCACGGGCCTTCCTCCATGGCTTCAGAGAGATGGGTGGTGCCTGTGCGGAGGCCCTAAGTCTGCGGGATGAAGCTGTGGCAGTGAAAGCTGGACTGTACAGGAGGCACCACGAGGCTTAGGGAGACCACACCGCAAGAGTCCTCACGGAGAGCTGCGTGGAGAACAGAACCTGGCAGATGAGGGCAGCTGGAGGGCTGCGCAGCTGGAGGGCAGAGCAGCCTGTGTCTGCCAGGGACAGAGCTAGAGAAGTTGGCGTCCACTGTGCCCCCATCCCTCCCTTTGGGAATGCTCGTGTGTGCTCTGTTGGGGCTGGAATCACGCTTGCTCATGGGAATTCTAACTCAGGTCCTCCCATTGCACGGCAGGCACTTTCACTCCGTGAGCCATCTCCCCAGCCCTGACCTCAGAACTAGTTACTCAAAACTAGTTACTCCTTCTGCCTTAAAAAAAAAAAAAAGGCGTTATTTTCATTTTGTTTATTGATGTTGAGTATAAAAGACCTCAAAGCCCACCCCCAGTGACACATTTCCTCCAAGGCCACCTACGACATAGTGCCACTCCCTGTGGGCCTATGGGGGCCATTTTTATTCGGAACAGCACAGGTCTATCGTTTTAGGCCTCGAAGCCCAGCACCAGGGAGGCTGAGGCTGGAGCATTCCCTCAAATTCAAGGCCAGCCCGAATTATTAATGCATAGTTAATTCTAGGCCAGTCTGAGCTACAGAATAGGTCGCTGCTTCAAAATCGCCACCACCACCCCACACCACCACACACCCACGCCCGTAGTTGCTCATTCCAGCACTTGGAAGGCCGAGGCAGGAGGATTACCACATTTGAAAGACCCCCCCGCCTCACCCTAAGTTAAACATAGCTAACGCCATTTTGTGGTACACCATTGTGTTGAGAAACTCTGTAGGCTAGGTGGGGAACTGGAAAATTACTGAGAAACCCAGCTGTGTCGCCCACTTGGGATATCTGTGGTCAGGCTGCCCCAGTTGAGCTAAAAACAACTTGTGTTAATCACCCTCATGGGATATCTGTGGGACTGTTCTAGCTGAGATAGGAGTCCTAAGGAAAACAACATATGGCGGGCCAAGTTAAGGGGTCATCATGACCGTTTCGACCACCCAGTTCCTGGTATCCTGGTGTCCCTGCCAAACTCTGACTCAAATTGTGGTCTCATGTAAATGTACCAATCAGCTCCCTGTAACCATGCTTCTCGCTTCTGTACCCGCGCTTCTGCTCTAAAACCCTATAAAAACCCAGCTTTCCACCCAGAGGGCGCAAGTCTTCCGAAAGGCTTTGTCGCCCCGGGTACCCCTGTACTGAATAAAGCCTCTTGCTGTTTGCAGCCGAACAACTGGTCTCGCTGATCCTTGGGAGGGGGGTCTCCCTGACGGAAGATACCCCTCGGGGGTCTTTCACATTCACCCAAGTTCTGAGGCAAGAGAAGAGCAAATGTATTCGAGGCCAAAGGATACAGTTCCCTTTGCCTGAACACGCGAGGGAAGTCACACTCAAGCTTGAGACTGTCCCAGCATCACTCCCTGAAGCCTTCCCTGACCTCAGACCCCCGCCCCGGCTCCTAGAAGACAACAAGCGCGCCCTAAATCTAACGGCCGAGTTGACAAGAGTCTCGGAAAGGGGAGGCGAGACGGCACACGCTCAACCCGCGCCCACGCAAAGAGAAGCGCAGCCGCAAGGTTCCCAGCGCACAGAGACGCCAGGGGCGCGCAGAGCGGCTACGGCGGGGCGGAAGTGCGTCCCCGGGGCCGTTCTAGGACTCCCGGAGGACTTCCGGGCACGGGCACGGGGGGCGCCCTGAGACACCCCGGCGAGCGGAGCGGTCTGGCCGGCCGGGCGAGGATGGGGTGAGTTAGGGCGAGAGCCGCGCAGGAGAGCCGGCGCCCGCCCGCCCGCCACCTGCTCCTCGCGCCGGTTGGCCGCGGCGCCGCCGGCACCGGAAGTGGCCGGGCCCCGCCGCCCGGGACACCGGACGGCGGCTGCGGCGGCGCAGCGCCCGGGCCCGGCGGAGCGAGCGTGGGCGGCGGCCGCCAGCGGTGAGGCCTCTCTGGTGCGGCCGGGGGGGGGGGGGGGGGG